ACTCCTTAACGTCTTTGTTCATCCCAGGCCAGCAGAAACGTTGTGCGATAAGCCTAATGGTGGCTCGTACACCTGGATGAGAGAGTTTGTGCAACGTATTGAAGACGTTGCGTCGACAACTCTTCGGAACTATTGGGCGTGGTTGACTAGCAGAGACATCGCACAAAATTGCATCCTTGTCTGATCCAACAGGACAAAGTCGCAGTTTGAGAGTTGTGGACGACAACTCATGATGCAGCTCAAGGTCTTCCTTTTGACGCCGAGCTAGTTCAACGAGATCAATACCCTCGATATAGTTTATCGAAGCTATTCGAGATAGTGCGTCGGCTGCGGAGTTGTTTGCTCCAGAAATGTGGCGGATGTCTGACGTGAACTGGGAAATGTAATCCAGCTGTCGCGACTCACGAGGGGAGTATTTGTCAGACGCCGAGCTGAGGGAAAACGTTAACGGTTTGTGGTCTGTGAAAATAATGAAATCACGACCTTCCACAGAATGTCGAAAATGGCGTACAGAACAGTACATGGCTAGGAGTTCCCTACCAAATGTACTGTATCTTGTTTCCGCGTCTTGCAGCCGCCTCGAGAAAAAGGCTAACGGTTGCCACTGGTTGTCAGTCAACTGTTGCAAAACTGCTCCAATTGCTGAATCAGATGCATCAACAGCAATACTCAGAGGAGCATTGGGGTCATGATGCATAAGCATGGTTGCGTTCGAAATGGCTTCCTTGACTTTGGAGAAAGCAAGTCTAGCCGCGTTGTCCAGAGACACGAACTTCGCAGTTCCTCGAAGTAGATCTGTGAGTGGTCTCATGACAGAGGCACAGTTAGGGATAAACCTTCGGTAATAACTTACCAGGCCATTGAAAGTGCGGAGATGTTTCACAGTGGTCGGCTCTGGATAGTTTGTGATAGCCGCCACTTTATCTCTCAATGGGCGTATACCTTTGTTGTCAATGGTATGCCCAAGGAAGCTGAGTGATTCAACTCCTATTTCACACTTCTGTAAGTTAACTGTGATGCCATGTTTTTTGAGTCTTTCGAATGCGAGGTCCAAATGTTTAAGGTGTGTTTCCTTATCTGGACTCGCAATTAGACAGTCATCTATGTAGACATGAACAAAATTCAGACCACGGAAGACGTCGTCCATAAAGCGTTGGAATGTTTGTGCTGCATTCCGAAGACCAAAAGGCATGCGCAGGAATTCAAACAGGCCAAAAGGAGTAATAATGGCTGTTTTCGCGATATCTTCTGCTGCCATAGGTATCTGGTTGTACGCTTTGACTAAGTCGATTTTCGAGAAAATGTTCATGCCGCATAAGGTTGCGGTCAAGTCGTAAACGTGGGGTATAGGGTAGCAGTCCGGAGTTGTTTTGGCGTTAAGCCTTCGGTAATCACCGGTCGGACGCCAGTCGTTGCTATCCTTTTTGGGCACCATGTGCAATGGCGATGCCCAAGGACTGTTCGACGGTCTGATAATGCCCAGTTCCAGCATATGGTCGAATTCATTTTTCGCCGTTTGCAGCTTATCGGGGGCTAAACGGCGAGCTTTGGATGCCACAGGTGGACCTGTGGTTGTGACGTGATGCATAACATTGCTGGTTATGCACGGAAGAGTGTGTTTCGGTTGTTGTAACTCTGGATATTTCTCCAGAACTGCCTGGTAGGACGCGTCGCCTGATTGTTTAGTCCTAACGATGGCTAAACTCGGACCTACATAGGTGGTGCCGCCAATAGATAACTTTGTGTTGTTATCTATCAGTCGTCGACGGCGAGCATCTACGAGTAGATCGTAATGGTTCAGCAAATCTATGCCAATGATGGGCATAGAGACGTCTGCCAGGAGGAAAATCCAGTGAATAGGTTTGCGTAAACCTAAGTTGAGGTAGGCATACCGTCTCCCGAATGTCGCGATTGCCTTGCCGTTGGCTGCTTGAAGATTGAAGGATGGGTCGAGATGACGCTCCTTTGTCGTTGCTGGAAGAACGCTAACTTCTGCGCCGGTGTCGACGAGGTAGCGGACTTTCGTTTTAATGTCGGTGACGTAGAGCAAACGGCTTTTTCCGCCGGCTACGGTTGCCGTGAGCACGTGCCGGCGTGACCGTTTCCCGAGTTCGTGTCCTTCTTAAAACGGCATGGTTTACGACATTTTCTGGCTTCATCCCCGTAAGTGTTATGAAACCAGCACCATTCAGGGTTTTCCACCCTGTTGGGTTTCGTTTTAGGGCTACCACGCGACTTGCTGCGATGCGCCAAGGTGCGTTTCTGTGAAGTGCTACGTGATCTAGGACTTCGAGATCGTAGCAACCGTTTCACAGAGTTGCACAACTTGGTCACCTCCGAATCCTGGCGCTCTGTTTTGTCGCAGATAGAATATACGTTGGAGACGGGTCTGCTGGATATCTCCAGTATTTTATCTGCTGAAGCTGCCAGGTCGTCGAGTGGGACTGACTGGAGTGTCACCAACACGGTTTGCACCGGTTGTGGTAGTTTCGAGAGAAATAGTTCTCGGAAGAAACCATCGTCAAATGTTCGTGCACCGATTACTTCTCGCATGCGTGCGAGGACTTCAGTAGCTGAGTGGCTGCCTAGCTCGATGTTACGAAGCAATTCGTCTAGACGTTGGCGATCTGTGAGATCGCTTTTCTTCAAGAGTGCAGCCTTTAGAAGTGCATAAGGGTCACTTACTTCAGGATTAAACATGTTTGCTGTAACATACCTGTTTAATTCTCGCGGTAGTGAACGTATGACAGCAAGAAATCGAGAATGAGGATCTGAGACACCCTGTTCTCGAAAATCGGCCTCGGCATACAGAAACCATGTTTCTGCATTGTCTGGCCAATATGGCACGAGTTGGATCGTGTTCGAGGTCGGCTTAATACGAATAAGCTTGGGAGTGTGGTCGGACATGAGAAAGTGTAGTAAATGGATATATAAATGTTATCGAAATGAAAACAATAAACAAATATAAAATGGAACAGGCTCACCAATTCAATACTTGTTATTGGTCGGGATATGTCGGATATTGATCACGTCGGGCTCACCAATTTAGGATTTGTCCTGGTGCGAACTTGACAGACGCAAAGACCAATCACTAATTATTCGAACTTGTTATATACCCACGAATACGAGACCAAGGAAGAACACGATAGCGTAGTCGGATGGAATAGTATATTTGGATGGTTATGCCAAAATACCGATGCGTTCCAACTAACTGGCTAGAGAGTCGAATACGAGCAATGCAACGTAACACGACAGCGTGCCAAATGGCGAGGATGCTTGACCGGATGCCTTCAGCTTAGCGAGTCCAGTTAAACTATCAAGGTCAGCATCAATGTCGAAGTCGTCAAACCCTAGGCTATTGATTTTGGGGAAGTGTATGACGCTACAGCGTAACCCGTCCTTTATCCGCATGGAATCACTGCAATCGCTTTTGTCGGTTTGCTGTGTGCCATCGAAAGTTTTCGATTAACGCGCGAAATCTAGGGTGACGCCTGTACTACCTGCCTTACCTTCAGGAATATTAAAAGATTGAAACAACGGCCGAATGATTGCTGATTTTGAAGTTAGCTTGCTTCAGTATGACGAACATTCATGTCCCGTAAAATCTTGTAGATTTTCCAAAATATATCAATGTGATAATGCCTGCAAACTGGCTTCTGTCATGTTAAATTACTAATATGAGAATAAAGTATTTTTAGCGATTATTATTATCTGTTATATTCTTTACTGTTTGCAAAGCATTAACGTTCCTTCTCTAGATGCATCTCTTACGTGCCGTGAATAACGGTGTCCGATGTAAAGCCTGACATTGCACATAACAGCCAGTTCATACCACCAAAATGATCAAACCTATAAACTGGTTTATTTTCATGTAACCCATGTTGTTCGAAATATATAATTATCGTCCTTATTATTCATGTAAACTGTTGCACATGCTATAAAATCTACAGGCAAAATCAGCAAGCTGACAGAAGAGGCGAGGCTGCGAAGGCTGGACTTCAGTTGAAAGTAGTGAAGATGGAGGTGATGAAGATACCCAGCCAACCACCACCAACAACAACAAGCACCAATCACTATCAAGGGGAGAAACCTGAGGGAAGTAATCTCCTTCACCTACCTAGGCAGCATCGTCCCAACTGCAGGGGGCGGCACAGATAAAGATGTTAAAGCCAGGATCGGGAAGAGAGCAAGACAGGCCCTCCTGCATTAATCTGATGCCGTTGTGGAGATCTACTGCACTGCACTACACTCAGCATAACGCGTGAACAACATCCGGATTTTCAATGCTAATGTCAGTCAAGTCAGTGCTTCTATGTGATGGTTGATAGACTTGGCGCACCGCGAAAAGCATTTCCAACAAACTACAGGCATTCATCAACAGGTGCCTGCGCTCGATACTGAAGATCAAATGACCTGAAAGATTAGGCAACAAGGAACTCTGCCTGGCTGGTAACGAACTAACCAGGGACTTATCACCCAAAAAAATCCAGAAGAAGGTGGAGATTGATTTGGCATCGACTGAGAAGGCCGACTGGGGTCACCACGCGTCAGGTCAGGCCTGGTATCTGCAGTAAGACTTATCCCTTCTTCATATTATCGGTGGTGAAACTTGTTTTTCCATCAGTACTTTATTTATTTGTTTTTCTCAATCCCCACTCACCCTATTTCTAGCACTTTTTAAGTGACGCTTGGCACTGACTTGCAGATGCCTACAAAAACTGGAGCTGCAAACGGTTAATCGATCCTATCAGCAGCGCCGTTGACCCCAAAAAATAAACTAAGCTACGATTTGCAAATAAAATACACTCAAATGGACAGTCTTTGCATCCAAACCTATAGGCAGGAAGACGCAAATACTTCTGCGGTCATCGACGGAGTGTAACCGAAAAAAAGAACCCAGCCTCAAGCAAGAGCTCAAAAAATAAAGTTTTCTCTACTCTTACTATTGTTGTTGGACGTTGAATGGTGGCTTATTTGGTTTCGTGCATTGCAAAGCAAAAATGCCTGACCACTTGGGTGCTGACCAGCGTAAAACAAAAGATCAGAAAGATGATGAAAAGCCTATTAAAGGTAAGATCTATCATCATCCTAACATTCTGCTTCAGCTCTTGATGAAGGAGACATTGCCCTACTAAAAACATACGTGGGTTCAACCTTTGCCAATTTTAATTCCGTAGAGTTCTGCAGCATACAGTAAAGAAATAAAACAATGTGAAGAAGATATACAGACGTACATGAAGCGTGTTAATGAACTCACTGGTTTGTTTTTGTATGGCTACATACTCTTGTAGGCCTCAAAGAATCAGATACTGGATTGGCTCCTCCTGCTCTCTGGGATTTGGCTGCGGATAAAGCCTGCTTATCAAGTAACGTAGTCAACTTTCTACGACTTATATGTAGGTGAACACCCACTGCAGGTCGCTCGTTGCACGAAAATAATTAATTCTGACACTGAAGAACCTAAGTACATTATTAATGTAAAGCAGTTTGCAAAGTTTGTTGTTGATTTAGCAGACACTGTGGCACCTACTGACATCGAAGAAGGAATGCGTGTTGGTGTTGACCGCACGAAGTACCAAATTCACATCCCACTGCCCCCTAAAATCGACCCAAGTGTGACAATGATGCAGGTGGAAGATAAACCGGATGTCACCTATAGTGATGTGGGTGGGTGTAAAGAGCAAATAGAAAAGTTGAGAGAAGTTGTTGAACTGCCTTTACTTCATGTAAGCATTTTTATTTTGTTTCATGCCGTCAACAGTTTGGCCTGAAAATATTTTGCTAGTTTGGACTGAGGCAAGAGTGTAACAAGACTTGCACAGCCAATCTGTTTTAGAGCAATTGTTTGCATTTATAAAACTGATGGCAACTCGTAGTGTCCGCCGGAGATGATCACTATCACCCTTTCTACAAAACTTCATCGTAGACGTACTAAGGGATGTAACCTCAGGTACATCTTACTTTACAAAGATTGACCTACTCAGTGGATGTCATCCATTTGGCTTGGAGTATGCAGTCACTTTTGTCCTGATAGGCTACGACGCTGGACGCGTTGAGTAGAAGTCTGATTTTGTTTGGCATGTGTTTCGCAACTGTCAAATTTAAGATAATGCTCCAGGACTGATCTGCTGCAAGTACTCGCAGTTTAATGATAGGCACTGAAGTGATGGAATGTATTGACCTCTTTACTTATTTGGGGAATTGCATCAGCCCGCCGGACATAGTAGTTGCTGATGAAATCTCATCTCAGATATAGAAGATCCGTTTAGCATTTGCCAACATGCATCATCACTGTCGCCGACTAGCAGGATATCCGACTGTGTAACTAAGGAACAGTATTTTGCGCCGCAGTCTATTCTGTCCTGCTGTGCGACTGTGAGAAATAGCCATTAAAGGTACGAGGCATAAAGCGGTTGCATGGTTTTTATCATACGTATCTTCGTAGCATTCCTCCTGTTTGATGGGATCACCATATGATCAATATAAGATAAGACAGAGGGTACTAGGCAGGAACGGCAAGTCAGTTGATTAAGTTGTAGACCACAATTGGCTGTGTTGGCTTGAACATGTACTGCGCTCACGGCCCGCCGCCTACTTTGACGTCCCATGCTAGGGGAAGTTGCATTAGGTTGGAAGATGGTTTAGGGTGGCCAGACCGAGAGGTGGCGTCAGTTGATGAGAGCTCTTACTTTTGTTTTGAGCCGTGTTAAGGGATTTAGGCTGCCTGTTTGGGGTCCTCGAAACGAAAGAAATCTGCAGTCGAGGAATCTCGGCGATATCAATATCAGCATGGGACCAAGCATTAATGCGTAACGGTCCGAGTTGCCACGGCTCATACCAGTACATCAAGTAAAAAGGCAGTGAGGCGCTTGTTGAAGGTAAGAAAATTCAGTCAAAAGAAATAAAAAGTACAAAAAGAGAGAAAGGAAGAATGAGAAAATGGTGAGATTCACTATAGCGTTAGGGTGAGAATAGTGTGCGTGGGGATACATCTGCGCCACTGACATCGGTTGTGAGCCATGTGATCACCTAGAGTCTCCAACCACTAGTTCCTCTTGTCCCATGGACCCCAACCGGCTAGTCTACATCGTCCCACATGGCTCATACCAACAGTCAAAGACTTCATACATTGGTGCCATGTTTTAGTCTGGCCACCTCGGGCCTTTTTCCAGCCTGGACTTGCTTCGGCCAACATTATGTGACGAGGCAATCAGCGACTAGGCATACGTAATACGTGTCTTAACCATCTCAGTCGAAGATTTATAACCTCACCAACTGACTTACCTCTTCTTTCTGAAACTACACCTGACGTCTGCGTTACTCACATGGTGACACCACGGAATACGGCCTATACTACGAAGGCAGTGGTGGTCAAACACCTCAAACCTCATGTCTTCCACCTTCAATGGCCATGCCTTACAGCCATACAGTAGAACAGACCGGACTGCTGTGCAGTACACGCGACCCTTAATATCGCGGTGGCGCTACAGAAGGCGAAAGCCAGCCGAGTCTTTTTTAACCGTGGAGAGATTTCATCGGCCACTGAGCCACCAGGGCTGGTCCTACTTCCCAGATAAGTGCAGTGGTCGACACAATCACTACACTCTCTATTATTAGTCGTGGCATCGTTGAAGACCAGTCCTGAAGCAACAATTCGCATTTGGGTGGTGAGAACCGCATCCCAAACATTCTAAAATTGCAACTCAAAGTGTTCAGAAAACTCTGCATCTTGTCAGCGTCTTCACCTAACAGGACTATGTCATCTGTATATTCTAGGTCTAACAAAAATTCTCCTGTGATTAGGTCAACCTCTGTGTGATCAGGTGACGAAAGGGAGATCCTAATAAGAATATCTATGATAAAACTGAACAAGAATGGAGACAATGAGGACCCTCAACGGACACCACTCGATGAGCATAGCTCCCTGAACATCTCACCATAGGCTCTAACACGCCCACAAGTGTTCAAGTAGAGAACCTTCAGTAAAGTGATGTACTTACTCGGCACACCTTTCAGTGAGAGACATTGCCATAAGACCTCTCGATCAACAGAGTCGAATGCAACCTTCACGTCGAGAAATACAGCTAGTGTTGGACGTCGGTGAGTGTGCCTATGTTCCAGAACCTGGCCCTCTTGGCGACATAGGTGAAAAAAGCGCAGATGTATTCTGAAGCTTGAATATTCGCACCGACCTTTATCTTCCGATTGTATAATTTCTCCCACTGCTTTGATATTACTCTTTACTTATCCACCTCTTGTTTGTGTACTACTATGAAGTGTGGCAACTTGAGTCGCACGTGTGTGGGAGGTTCTACGTTGATTTTGTCCATCAGAATAGTGTGTTAATGACCATATCGTGACATGACCAAGTTGTTATTGATATATCTGATATCAAGACTAAATGATTTACTTGAATGTCAAAACGTCATTAGTTTCCTTAAGTTAACTGTTAGGTAGCAACAAGCACCACCCTGTAATACAAGACTACCTAGTGGGCGACTTGAAGTAGGGTTGATCTCTTTATCCATTTCAACTCATCTAATTGATCCCGACCAGTGTTATCCAAATATCTATAACCTAACTTGGTTCCACTCAACAATAAGTATAGTTGGAGCTAGTGGTCCGTTAAATAAATACACAAACTATTTGTTATTTTCGAATAGTATGTTACCTATGTCCAGATACATAATTGTATGTGAAATGTGAAGTATTCTGAATTCTATCAATCCCATAACAAACTCCGGAAGAATCATTATTCCGCTCTGGAAAACGAAAGTTTCATCGTTTTAAAAATGTGCATCTGGTTTGATTTCTCATTGATTCTAAGTTGATTTCCTGTTTGTCGAATAGCCTGAAAAATTTGTTAACCTCGGCATCGAACCTCCAAAAGGTGTTTTACTCTTTGGACCACCTGGGACTGGCAAAACATTATGTGCCCGAGCGGTCGCTAACCGTACGGATGCTTGTTTTATTCGTGTTATCGGTTCGGAATTAGTTCAAAAGTATGTTGGTGAAGGTGCACGGATGGTTAGAGAGTTGTTCGAATTGGCCAGATCAAAGAAAGCTTGTATTATATTTTTTGATGAGATTGATGCTGTTGGAGGTGCCCGAATCGATGATGGCTTAGGTGGTGAAAATGAGGTGCAACGAACTATGCTTGAGCTCATCAACCAACTGGACGGTTTTGATCCAAGAGGGAACATAAAGGTATGTAAAGTTTTTGCAGTGCTGTTGTTGCCCATTATGTTAATTGATTCGTGGAAAATTTATAAGTTAAGAAAAACTAAAGCCATATTGTCTGCTGAGTCAGAATCATGGAGTTTTCTTGAATAATTTCCAGTCAGAAAACCACTACACACCAAAATGCTAGGTATATTTCACTATGTACTGTGAAACAATCATTTTTTCGTGAATGGAATGTCTTCGTTCACAAATTTTGTATTCAATGAGTTACTTCCACATCAAAATGCTATGACCACATAATTTCATGGCTTGAATCCTCTTCTGATTTTCACTCTGTGCTCGATTTTGATAAGATGTTGCTTGTCTTGATTATGTCAGATTGAGAAGTCACTTATATCGAGAAGGAAATTATGTTTCCATACATTTATCTATTTCATATATTACTTGTAAATATGAACTTAGGTTAACATTTTGTGGGATTGTTTCTCAAATATTAGACATTAAGTGAACAGTTGATGTTAGGGATCTTACATTTGTATAAACAAGCTTTTCAAAAAATATAGGTACATTGTCTATGTAGTCTGAAGACAGTAGTCCCCGCTTGACTTCTTGAATGAAGACATGGTTAAGACTGAAAATGGAATTCTGATGAATAAACAACCCTGAAACTACCAAAAGGGTGAGAAATTGGCGGTTTTATTTTCAAAAAACTGACCAGGTGCTGCAGTCCTCACAAAACACTGTGGTCTTTGTATTCATAATTTTGCAGAAGTTTGTCCTATGGGCACCATTCAATGTTTAGCACGTGCCAAATGATCATGCTGCTGTACACTTTTAGACCTTTGCTAATCTTTCGTCGTGCGTACAGTTAATTTGATGACTTAAGCGATTTTGTTATTTCAGTACAATGGATATTTGAACAGTAAGGCATACAGCAGCTGTAGTCGTGTGATGATGTAAAAGTATATTTGCCGTCAGTCAAATCTTTTGATTCGAGAGTAAAGATTGTTTCTCTTTATGCAAAAAGATTGACAAATCCGAGTGAAACTTGACATAAATCTGCTTAAATTTAAGGTAAAGATATGCAAAAAGTGGGTGTTCTGTGACAGCTTAAAGTCTCAAATTCTTTCGAATGTAGTCGAAATGCAGTTAGAACTCTTCAGCAACACTTACCATTCAGATCAAGGCTATCTGTACACCTATCAGCTTTTTCTTTACTTTGGTGTGGATCTCTTTATTAGTGTAGCTGACTTGTTCAACTTAGGGAGTGGAGTTCTTCAAAGCACCTGAAGCCTCGTTAGGTACTTGAGCGGAGTGGTCATATGCAGAAAACCACGGTTGGATTTCTCACTACGAAATGTGCATTCCGCGAACACGTGATTTGATTTCTGATAAGAACCCTCCTATAAGTTATCTATATGTACTCTTTAACACATGTAAATGAACGGATTCGGTTATACATGGTAGGAGATGGTGATTTCGCAGCTTTCAATAGTCTCAGTAAACTATTCTCCACTCCTTTCAGTTTTTAATCTACTCTTTTGAATATTTCGTCAGCTACACTACAAATTTGTGATTTATTTTCCGTAGCACTTATGTTTTGGTTTACTTGATCTCACTGGTTTTATTTTGTTTATATAAGCATGAAAGCCAGTTGGATTTGTATGTTTGGTCTAATTTAATTTCCTGGGACAAGTATAAGATTTTCTGAGGTCGTTACACAATTCTAATATTTTTTCTCTGACTAGCGAAACACCCCAGTGACGAAATACTTTTCTGCTTCATTTGTTTTCTGAGTTCGATAAATAACGATCCAAGTCCTTATCGTTTTTATTCTGCATTTTTTTCTACTGTGTGCGTTAATATCTTTTTGATTTAATAAAACAGGTGGTCAAGTTTTTTCAGTTAAATAAATTCACCAATGGAAATTAGTGAGTGGCAGTATACGTCTGTTTCTTTTCAGAAAGAACCATAGACAAAAATATCGTCATTCTTTTACTCGTAACTTTTGTAAATATATCTCAGACTGTCTGAATCGATTGCATTCAGTTTCTAGCATTTAGCAAGTATCTTTTAGAATAGACTTGTGAATCTCTGCGTTTCTTCATACATAAGTTATGAAGGCGCATAACGGTAGTTCAATATCTTGTTTTGTTTATTTCTGAATCCATCTTTTTATTCGTTTTATTGTTTTTCACTTCTCAATAGTCCCAAGTGACTAAATAACGACTTTTTCATTCCGTAAGTTTTAGAGTCATCTAATGAGTAGTGTTATGAGCATTCAAGTTCGAATTCTTTCGTGAATTAGGGCTTCATCTATAGACAAAGGTTGAATCATGGGTTATAAAGCGACTGCTTTCCTCTTTTTTTTTTTACAATTTTACGTATACTAATTCGGCGTGGAAACTCAAAACTAATGAGCAGTCATTCTAGGGCTTACGCCTATGACATCTGTCTCCACTTTTCTGTGAGTATACCTGCCAGCTCTTACAAAGACAATATTTAATTCAATGAGTGCTATGCACTGGTAATCAGCAGTCGCTAGCAGTATGTTTTACCTGTTCGTGTCAGTATCGTAGATTTCTTACATGACACCAAGTGAAGTTTTGGGAGCATATTTTAATCTGGTTATTTTTGTAATGTTTTGATTCGTTACTTAATCGCTCATTTAGCCGACTTATAGGGCTGTGATTCACTGACTGAGTTATTAGATCTTCAACTCACTCGTTGCAGGTTCGAACTTCTTCCTATCTGTAAAAGCAAAGACAAACAGCTCATATCATTAGATATCAATTAGTGAATATATTTTTTCACTAATTACTCAAACATCCACGTGGTTGCTCAACAGAGTTATTTTCTAATAATTTAGTAAGTGCGGAATAATTTGACTTGCATCTAGACAACTTTATCCTAACGAGTGGGTAGTATTACGCTTCAGCATTTTCGAACTTTTGGCATTTGGACCTACAGTAGATATTTACACTTTCAGGTTAGTTATATTTTACTTGTTTAAATTTCGATCTTCCTTTTTTTATGTTTTAGGTACTAATGGCAACCAATCGTCCTGATACACTAGATCCTGCTCTTGTTAGACCTGGTCGTTTGGACCGAAAAGTTGAATTTGGTCTACCTGATCTTGAAGGTCGCACTCATATATTCAAAATACATGCCCGTTCTATGTCCGTTGAAAAGGATATTCGTTATGAACTTCTTGCTCGTCTTTGTCCTAATAGCACCGGTAAGTACTCGTATCTGAGTTGTAATGACCTTTCACTTCACTGAAAATCATAAAAGATAAAAATAACCATTTAGTGGTTCACTTTTAATCGAATGCTCATCCATTTTAGTGCCAATTAATACTAATGACCACATTTCATATCACTATGATGTCTGCCTTTAAGAGTGATATGAGTAGTTTTGATGAATTTTTTTCTTCCTTTAGGCTGATATTCTTTAGTTAAGAGTTCACTAGACTCAGGTTAATATGTCCAAATCCACTAAAGTACAGCACTAATTACGATACTTTTAGTGAGAAGTTAAAAGTATTCTCTGTTAAAAGAACAATTAATGTTTGATGAAATGTTAAAATCAGCTTTCGATTTTTAGTTCCTGTGAATAGATACTTGCTTGCTGATTCGGTTTCACAGAATAATTTGAGCTCCTATTTGTTTCATGACTTCCCAGCTGCAAATAGCCCAAAATAAGTGCAGAATTATTATGGGATAGAATTCGAATTAAGCTTTGTGTTAAAGTAAAGAAAGTACATATTGTGAGAAAGACAGGTGCGACGGGCACAAAATGGGTATCTCAGTATTTCCCATATAATCAGACTTGAAATTTTCCGAGATAAGCTAGATGTTTATGCCTTGAACAACACTTCATTTTGCCGAAAAGCTGAGAAATTTGAATATTTCGAAGAAGTTTCTGGTATGCTTCCATATTTCTTTTTATTGACCAACGTTGCAGTCAATAAAACTACTGAGGTCATTTGAAAGTAATCTGAATTGGTTCTTAAATCTGAGGAAGATCTCTATCAGCTTTCATCCCTGTGTGCGAAAGATGTTCAATCCTAGTTCAATACGTTTCAATCAGTTTTCGCTTGCATATAGTTATGAGCTTATGATCAATTATTGGCTTAAAAAGATGTCGCAAACGGTCAAGTGTTATGCTATTTATTTTATCGAAATCCCATTTTTATTTGTGTACCATGATACATCTCAATCTGATATATGAGTATCCATTGCTATTTCATTGCTGTTCATTGGATCGCCGCAGTTACACAGGCTTTCTTCATAATAAACTTTATCTTTTGTTTTACTGAGTAGTTTTCCTTGCTCATATACCTTATCTTTAAGCCTTGGCAATATCAGTAACCTCTTTCACTAAATAATGAAAATCGAGAACTTCCTACAACTGTTCACCTAATTTAAAGTAAAAATTTAAGATCTCTTTTAGTTCAGTGAACTCAATTGATAAGCCGCATAAATAGTTCCTGAACTTAAATAATGTATGTATTTTTGACCAGTGCTTTAGGTATAAAATATTACACGGCTAAGTGAATAACCTTATGCTCTTATATATTTCAAATTGATTTATAAGCTGATCTCAAAACAGTCACATGCGGATATCTTTTCTACGTTCTACTGTTCATTTCAGCAGTGGTGAGAAAAAAAAGCTAAGAATCTGATGTCTTAATGACTGAAAATATTTACAGCCTGGTAGACAGTTCCAGTAGAAAAACATTTTCATCGTTAGCTTCAATCACTTTAGTTTTATACCAAACTGTTAAGCTATTTAAGGTAAAAAAGAATAATTAATCTATGTCATTTACTTTGAAAACAAACATCAGTTATTCTAGAAGTAACCAGTTGATTCAGTTTTCACCTTTTTTTACATATCAGTGGTTTCACGAGCTGAAATAGTGACTTTGCTAATGGCTTTGGTGCTCACTTTGTCTACATAGTTAGTTAAGGATGCAGCACATTCACGTTTCTGTGACCCAAATTTTATGATATCCTGTTGACCTGGAAACCAGTTTGATAATCCTTCCTTGACCAGAATTTTCATCTTCAACCATCATCCCATGAGCCCATACACTGCATGGGAAAGTAGTGGCAATATATTCACTGTCGAAAAATGTCACTTTTGTTTTCGAATATCATTTCATGGTAGTTAATGTACTTTCGTCGATCGAATACTTCTCTGGAAACAGTAAAAAGTTAATTTTTGGTCGTACTACACAAGAATGTTTGGTAGTAATTTAAAGAGGAAGTAGCTTGCTCATGTTTTGTTCAGTTTTCTTACTTCGATTAATTGTAGGATGGTTTTAACTATATCCGTCAATTCTGGCTAATCAGCACTACTGAGACTTTTGTCAGGGAAATAGATGACATTGCTTTGCTGTAGTTATTCATATTTAATTGTCTCTAGTTTACTCTTAAAAGAATTTTTTACCTACTGGCCTCATTTCCTTGTCTTACGTAAAAAACAAGGAATTCAGTGTTTTATTCTCTATACCATATATATATATATTTCGATGTGTATAGTAAACTGATAAGGAAGTTACAGTCTGCCAGTGCCCAAGTTCTTTTAAACACAGTATAAATAAGTAAGTCCGTTAAGACCAGAGCTCTTCTCTGAATTTCTTATTTTCGATTCCATGTTAGCATCCCTGTTGTAATTTTTTGTACAGAAGCTTTCAGCATACCGAAACATTGATATCATTGTGGTTATGTGCAGTAATTTTGATACTTTTAACCTATTGCTTCTTAATATAATACATGTTTAGCTCAAGATATCTTCGATTTTTAGATGTGTGTACATCATTGTAATTTCATCAGTATTTCTACTATAGGTGTGCATAATATTTACTTTGTAGTGGCGGGATCATCACTGATCAGCGAACATAATACCATTGGAAACTTTAAACCGAATAAGGATTGGTGTGTGCATGACTGCAGTTTCTGACATATTTTGAGGGTTACTAAAACGCACCTGACATAAGTTTATGATTTCTCTAGTTTTGAAGCCTTTTTCCACTACAAGACGAGTAGTAAGAATCGGTTATCTTTTTTTCCTTGTTTCCCATCAAATGTTTTTCAGGTTTGGTTTTTTCATCTCACTAAAAACTGAATTTATTTGTAAAATTTTCATTTTTTCGTCTTTTAACAAACAATAAAATATGATTAATGTTTAAAAAAATTCAGTAGCTCTATCCTTTGAATACTTTCTTATGTAAAAGTCCGACAGAAAGTCATTGAACTATCCTTAGCTTTCTGGAAGTGTTTTAAATATTTTCTTCAAAATGTGTTACAGTCGCGTTTACTTTGAATCCCAATAATCGTGACTGACCGTGAATAATTTTGGTCTATTTACTAGTCATTGTCACCCGTTAATAACTTAACCGTGCCACATGTGTGTAGCCTATTCCGTTAGATTTTCTATTCATCATGGTAAATACATTACTCACTGTGAAATGGCACGAAACTGTTGGTGATAGCAGAGGTTCATAACTGTAACAGCGACAAAACGTTTAAAATGCGAGCTGTTCCTTATTAAGTTGAATAGTGTATGATGTTTTTCCGTAAAAAAAAGTAAGACCGACCTTATAATCTACTGATTTTAAAATATTTCATGCGTCTGTGATTATCTTGTGACGTATCAGGTACTTAATTGAGTGTCACCAAGCTAGTGGTTTATTAAGTGTCGCTGTGTAGTCCAACTGTTACCATGTGACAAGCATTTTCTTTTCTCAACCTCAGCGCTGTTGATTTTTGTTGAAAAAATTCCAGCGACAAAGTTGTTGTGTTTTTCCACCTAACTGTTGTTCAAAAGATTATATTTTATAGGTGCCTTCTCATAATGACTGGTCTTTTTTTACGTACGATAACTTAACTGAAGGTCTTTAGTATAAAATGGTTAGTCAAGCCTGCTAACAGTGTTTTTTGTTCATGCTAACTACAGAATACAATCTAAGTAATGCCGCTCAGTTTTCCACTGTTTCTATGATTTTTTTATTTGATTCTTCATTCAAACGATTTCGTTTTGTAGGGGAGTTACGCAATGATGAGAATCTTTTTTGTTAAGAACGCATTAGTTCTTACTATCTTATGCTTCTGTGAGCAGTATCTAGCTTGCTACTCCTAAGTTGAGGCATTTATCCTCACTCAGAGTACTTCTCTCACTATCGGTAGTACTTTTATTACTGTTACCATCATCATATAATTGTTTATTTCCTGTCTCATGAATCATGTAGTTTTGTTTCATTTCGTATGGTACCTTTTGAGGATCCCATGGCACATAGTAATTCTAGACCACAGACGTTAAAACCTGTAGAAAACTTCGTGGGTGGTTTTAAAGTCGATTAACTAGTCGATGTGCTCCACGATGTTCCTATATTCGTAGGTATTGTTTATTTTTCAGTATTTGGTTGATACTTACTGACATATTGAGCGCATGTGGCCTCGTTTGATTGCAATTTCATATCGTTTTCTTTTCCGGTCGTATTGAATAATCACCTCTTATCTTTCTATCGTCAGAATATTGACGTCTGGATTTTAAAGTTATGCTCGGTAATAATTTAAGAGCTCTTTATCTATCACAACACAGATCGTATCAGATATGCCTTTTTAGTTTTGGTCACTTACTCCCTTAGTATTTGCGAGCTTGTGACTGCCTCATTCTATATATGTGTTATTTCCGAGCACGGGATTGGAATACTTCCCTAACTTCTCATAGTGTATAGTTAATGCTTTTATGTTTCGTCTTTTCAATCGTGTGTGTTCTAATTTCCTGTTGTATAAGACGTCAGTAGTCCCTATTTCATATTTGTCTGAAACATTTCTTATGATAGCCGTTATTATAAACCTCAACGTATCATTTTACTTTCGTTTGCCTATTTAGGTGCTGAAATTCGCAGCGTTTGTACCGAGGCTGGGATGTATGCGATCAGATCAAGACGCAAAATGGCCACAGAAAAAGACTTTCTAGAGGCTGTGAACAAGGTTATAAAGTCTTATGCGAAATTCAGTGCAACCCCGCGTTATATGACATATAATTAACTGTCTTATTTCATTTGAAATAAATATCAATAAATCCCATAGTATAATTTGACATTGTTTTCTACGGCTTGCTGAATATTCTGCTTATTGAGACTTTTTTACATTTTTTTGCTGTATGTATCGAAGAAATTCGGATATCACTTTCACGCAAAGAAGATCCATTTATTCAGTAGCATGCATTCTGTGCAGTCTGTGATGAACGCACTTGTTTGCCAGGTGTTGTTTTTTCTGCATGTCGCTGTGTTATTCCAGTGATATTTTAGTTTAAAACCTATTCACCGAACGGGAACTTCACGAAAATATGCGCTGGAAGGACTTGACCACTACGTCTGGATTGACGGAAATTAAAAAGGTGGATAGGGTTAAAGTAGATTGATAATAGTATTTTATAAGGAAATTATTTTTATCGTTTTGTACTTTTGTGGTATAATCATGGACATGAACCACCAGCAGTTTTGAAAAGTTGATTTCAATTCTGAGCTGCATTTTGACCTCTGAGACAGTGGTTACATAGTAAATTATCCTCAGCTATGCACTGAGCTAATTATTTGTGTGATTCGAAGTAAGAAACAAGTTTTCCAAATTGTATCAAAATTATTAAGGATATAGTGATTATTATTAACTGTCACAAGCAGCAACGATAGAGTACAGAAACATTCAAAGAAATCGTCGAAATCCCCATTTCCTACTGTGTATGGGAAACTATAAAACCACTGTTTAATGGTCCCTAGCTTCAACAAATTATTCAGAACAGTGTTTCTTCCTCCATATCAGGTGACATTCAGCGTCGAAATGAATCAAAAGTGACTAATTTGACAAGAACTTCGTCGTAAGTAAAACTAACCCTTAAACTCCTTCATCCCCAATCTAAATTCAGATTTTATTGAGATGCTTGAAGTGGTGGTCAGACTTGTGTTTCAAATGATCCAACGGGCTATCCTGGTTCTAGTACCTCAGAAAGGTTAACTGGATAAAAGCAGTTGTTGATATAGTACAGACAGCTACACTATGATAATGGTTTGCGGATAAAGTTGTGCTGCTGGCTAAAGGGGGTTTGACATCAATAAGATGTTTCTCTCAGATGGCCAGCAGTAAAATGCTGATGCTGCCTTATAAAAAATTAACGTTGAAAATCTTGGCCTCCAAAGTGACGCCTTTCCCTGTCCATTTGTATTATGGTGCTAGCAGGATAAAAATTCCTTGTTAGGTGTTAGTACAATGCACTTTCACTTTTAAAATCACCGTGTGACGGTAACCGAGCAGATCTCCCATGAGCTCTGCACTCACGCAAAACTATTCCTTTTTCTCGTCCAACTACCGTGTAGAAACAAGTGCCACCGGTGTGAAAAGTACCACCTGTTTGCATCCAGAAGTATGCTAAACTCAATCGTAATCTGTTCTCCTCACCTTTGTCTCCTTTCTTGCATGATTCAAGCACTACGCCTCTTGCAACTTGGTCGACTCACTATTGCCAACGGACCAACCATCATTCATAGTCTCACAGTCTATGGATTTTACATAGGGGCTCCCAACACCCAAATCCGCAGAAGATATCTCTTACCGAAATGTGTACATTAACTTAACCTGGCGAATGCTGTCAGTCTGCAAAATTAACTTTATGGGAGTTCAGGGATCCAACAGCTTGCTTTCATGGACCCGCTAGTATAGGTAGAAAATTAAGTTGTAGAAAAGAAAATGCACTTCTAGACTGGATACCAGTCAACAGCCTTCTGTGTGCTTTCCGACTGAATGGATCTGTCAGAACTACGAAGGTTCATGAGACTAGCCGTTACCCACTAATCGGAAGAAGCAAAGAATGAATTTAACCAGAAGTTGTCGAATTCACTGCATAAGACAAAACTTAGCGATATGGTCATGATAACAGATGACTTCAACGCTGAAACTACAAAACAGCCATACCACTGGTGACTTTCTCTTGCAGCTTCGTTCGGGTAATCACTCGTTTCTGCCCTGTACTAACTCCAAGCAAAGATACATGGCATCTCCCGACAGCAAATCAGTGGTGGACACGTAGGTCATATTGTTATAAGACGTCGTTGGAGGTTCACTACTGTTTCGACTACTATTACACACTAGTATAGGCTCGTGTATGCCTGCACGTAATTGGTGGCAATAACCGCCATCAGTAAAGTCTGTTTCTACCTGATTGGAAGGTGAGGTTAAGTGTGTATTTAGGAAGAATTAACTAAGCTCACATCCGAAGGTAACAGTCATTCTCATTCTGAGGAAACCTGGCGTGCTAGTCACTTTGTTGTAGGAACAGTGGTACAGACAGTTGGTAACCTACATTCATAGGTTAGGAAATACCAGCAGGTTTCCGCAACATCGTCCGAAATGATGAATACGAAAAGACTGGTTTTGTCTGGCTGTGACCACAACGAGGAGCGGAAGCAATTTCAGCGTATATTGATCAAGAATCCTTACAATGGTGGCGAAAATTGGTGGGTGGCGAAAGTCAGAAAAAAAAGATGGGGAGATTTAGGTAATACTCAGCTACTGTAAGGTTCCCTAAGGATTCCAGCAAGAAGAAACCGATGATTAGTAAAACCATCACCGATAAGGATGGGAAGATGACTACCTCTCAAGATAGATGGCTGGAATGTTGGGCATAAAAACATGAAGTACCTTTAAACTTTCCCAAATTTGAATGGGGTGTAGATTTCAGTCCTTCAACTGTCCTCAAAGGTTGTTTCGAAACTGAAACGGTGGTTCCTAGCAGGATTTGATTGGTTACAATCTGAAGGTTTTAGGGCTGAAGGTAGTAAATTAATGAGTAGAACAGCGTATAGGAATCAGAGTTAATCATGTTGGAGTGGTTCAGATACCTGATAGTTCCTGCTTATAAGAAAGGAGAGAGGTCTTCTTGTGAGAACATAAGAGCAATCAATTTGACGAACATCTTATCCAAGTCTTGGATTCCATAACAGTTCGGCGTCTAGCAAGATCTCGATCTTTAACTAGCGGTATTTATATCTGGCTGATACGTTATATTTTTTGACCTGAAGGCGGGATTCAGTTATTTCACCCGAAAAGTACTATGGTACTGTCTAACTTTGAAAAGAGTTCCAAGCGGGTATGCTACGCTAATCAGAACTCTCCACTAGACCTAGGCCGTACGAAGGCTTATTAAGATTTGTCAAGTAATGAAAGCCACTGGTGTCAGGTTTCAGGATTGGGAATAAAGTGGTTGAATGCACCGACTACTTCAATTACTTGAGGAGATACATCAGCCAGAACAGGCCGGCTGGTGACGAAATTTCAGCTCAGACACGGCTCGTTCGGTACTTGAGAACTTGGGCCTGCGTGATATCTTACTAACTATTAAAGGACGAGTATACTACCCTGCAGTTGTCATGTGATTGTGAGATATGGCCGTTGAAAGCAGAAAATAAGAAGTTATTACAAGTTTTTAGACACCGGGATCTTGGTAGCATCTCTTGAGTAGGTCGGAATCGGTTCGAACGATGTCAAAATAAGGCGAAGAATATTAGGCAGAACAGGCAAGTCGGTTTATGAGGTTGTGAATTAACACCGAAGGAGATGACCTGAACATATGTTATGCTTGCTGAGCAAAATACCCACCTCGTTGCTTAATTTTGGCTGAAGTAGGATTGAATGGCAGATCAAGGTAACCACACCAAGATTTAATACTAGTGTATGGGATTTTTCATTGTTTTTCTTAGGTTGTTACGGAGGAAGATGAAGACTACATAGTTGGAATCCCCTAAACAAGAGGAATTAGTGACTAGAAATTCATAGTGATATGGCTAAACATAATCACAGTAGTGCAGACTTATTCACCCTTTGACGTCATCTAAAGCATGAACATTTTCGCTTACTGTGATTTTCAAATTCTTCGTCCCATACGCTCGACTAACTGAAAGCCGGAGGAGTACGAAATTGCGTACAAATTAGGTTGCGACTTTAAGTTTACATTGAGAAAGCAGCGAGGATCACTGGAAAATGTGTGATGGTCATATGCGAAGGCAGTCTCTGGGAATATACATTTCTTTTGAAGTGCAATTTCTGCAGTTCGTTCGGTGAACTAGTACTGAGGAATATTGAGACTTCGGACAAATAACTCGACAGAAGTGGCTTTTAATCCTCTTATTTTAGACTAGTTTTACTCATCTTAACCAGAACATGGTAGTATGCTTAACTGTTGGTTATTTTCAAAGGTTTTCGATAACAGTGGGATACAGCATGGCTTAAAGAAATGGTGTTTTTCCCCCACCCCTTGACCCTGTAATTTTTCATTTAAATGACAAGTACGTGTGTGAGCAGATTGTTTGAAATGTTTCGCGAAAATGCATTACATTATTCATACAAATTACCTTTGCTTATTACCTTATCAAAATAAATGTATTACTCCATGGGTATATCGTGGTTACAAAAGCCTCATTGATCAATTTATTCTGCTTGGTTGATCACTTCTTTATAAGGAGCTGAGTTGGCTGCCATTACGCAACGTGTGACCGTGCACCCGTACGAAGTTAATCAAAACCTAACCTGCTTGTAAGTGGTGATTACAAAAGTCCAATAAACATACCAAGCACTCCTTAACTGCACTACATGAACATGTTATCTCATGATTTGTTACCTAGCTGTTTTTGGTTGTTGTTTCGCAGTGTTGTGCTCACATAACTCCAAGAAGTTCTAAACTCTGCCAAATTGAAACTTATATTCCTCTAGCCAGTTTCTGAAACGGCTTCAACAACTGTTCTGTTACACGGATAACCTCGTTCTGCTGATCCCAAAAAGTTGATTTTAGTCTCTATTCTCAAAAATACTGACAAATTACTGGTCGAAATTTAGAGGAAGTGTTCATAAAAGTCCTAGTGAAATCCACAGTAACGAAAATATTGCTCCCACCTTGTTTAACTGGTCTTATGAAAAAATATGATCCCTAATAATGATATCACTTCAGAATTTGTATCTGCATCTATGACAAAACTAATAGGTGTACTATCAAGCACTCC